GAAACCACCGGCGAACGCATCACCGGCACCGTTGGTGTCGTTGATCTGCTCCTCCTTGATGGCGTGTACGGAGAACTCTTTGATGTCAGCGTCACCGCCCTCCTTTGCGGTAACGGCAATGGTTGGGTCGGTGCCTTGGGTGAAGACAACAGTCCTGGGTCGCTTGCTGTTCTGCTTGGGTGTGTTGGCCAGCTTCTTAGCAATCTCCTTGACGTCCTTGGTCTCCCAGCCCTGGGCCTCGGCGAATGCGGCGGCCTCGGTCTCGTTGCCGATGACGATGTCGACGTAAGGGAGGACCTCGTTGAGAGGGTCCTTGAAGAATTGCGAGATGAAGGGTGCGGAAAGGTTGAGGATGAATTGCTAGAAAGCTGTTAGCACATTGATCTTTTCTCAACACACCCATGGTCTTCCTACCTTGTCCTTGGCAGCAGCGTGCTCAGCCAGTGCCTTGACGGCTGGGACACAGACGGTCAAGTGGAAGCCACCAACGTAGTAGACCTTGGCGTTCTCGACCTGCTTCCAGATGCGCTCCTCCTTCAAGTGGTCGATCTTGTAGTTGTTGGCAGCGGCAAGGTCGGTGCACATGGAGCGGTTGTGGCCGGTGATGACAACACCGCAGCGACCAGTGGGAGTCTTCTCATCGTAGAGGTACTCAGTTTTGACACCGGCATCGGCTGAGATCTTCTCGAGGGTCTCGCCGTACTTGTCCTTGCCAATGCAGCCAACGTATACGACCGACTTGGGCTCGAGGATGTAAGCCGCACCACGGGCAGTGTTCTGGGCGGCACCACCAGCGATCAGGACGGCGTTGTAGTTCTGGAGAAGATCCTCGTACAGGCCCATGTGCTTCTCCGGGTCGGCGAGGATCGCATCGTTGGCCTTCAAGCCATACTTGTCGAGGAGAGCCTGGTCACTGCTCGCTGTTAGCAAAAGCTCACTTTAGTGCTCCTCCGCAATTGTTGCAAAACATTGCGATTGTAGCTAAAGGAAGATGGACTTACCCAACACCCTGGATGTCCAGAAGCGGGTTCTCGAGGCAGAATAGTTCGTAGTTTCCAGGCATTGTGTCTGTTGTGTGTGTGTAATAAAAGTCGTTGGTGTCGTAATGGAGTGAAAGTGCTGAATGTGGGGCAGGGTTTCGGACAGCGAGGGGCAGCAAGCTCCGCGCTAACAATTGCACCGACACGTAAAGTCCCGAATCGAGCAAGGTAAGTGCAGGCGAGTGGAGCATCTTGTCGCGCATGCGAGGGAAGGCATCCTGTAGAAACACGGCTTAACATCACAGCAACTATGAGGCCCGTGGTCATACGCATAACTCCTTGTTAATTTATAAAGTAAAGTAGATCTACCAGACCAGGCATAGAACGTTGAGACGCGACTCACTTCCGATCCAGAAGCTCAAAGCCTTTGGTCATCTGGAAGACAAGTCGTTTCTCAAGTCGGACCATAGTCTGGCTGGTCCGCAGGACCAACCCATGCAATAACGCAATAATTTCAGTCTGTAAAGCAAATCGCCCCATCTAGCTACCTTCCCTTGATCTTCGATGGTGCTCTGGACAAGTCATGGCGTGCAAGCGAAGCATGATAGGAGCACACATGCCGCATGCGGAAGAGCACCCACACTCATTTGGTTGGAGGGTTCGCTCATAACCCATCCAACGGAGCTCTTCAACTCCGACACGATAGTCTTGTAGTAACCAGGTTGGTAGTCTGGCGAACCGTATGTCTAGCGACGGAAACGACTGATGATAAGACAGCATTGAGCAGCCTGCTACGGCTGCGCTGGCGTTGGATCAGCCGCCTTGGCCGTTGGGAGGAGTGCGCCCCCAGGAGCTCTCGGCATTGCCCCGGTAGGAGCTGAACAGAAGCGGGCTCGCCATGTTTACTCCATTTGCGTATCCATACTGGTGGTTGTTGTTCAAGTCGCTGCCATATGGCGATCCCCAGTTCGAGGGGCTGCTGACGTGATTTCCCCATGCAGCGCCACTGCCGATACCACTGGGAGCTCTAGTAGCAGTAGGAGTACCAGCCTCGACACTCAGAAGCGAATTCGCTGAATCACCTCGCACATGACCAGACATCCGGGGTTTATCATTCATTGAAGGGCGACGGAGATCGTTGCCAAGGCCGTTGGTGTTTAGCATAGAGGGAGAAGCCGGACCGGGCGTGCGATTCCAGATGGAGTTGGAGTTCCACTGGCCATCCGGCACAGAAGGTAGGTTCGGTGGCTGACGGATGGAAGATGTAGAACCCGACCTACCCATCGGCGTGGAGAGCATTGCAGGCATAGGAGCAGGAGACAAGGGCTTGTAGTTCCTAACCGAGTTGACCAAGTCGTTGATCGACAATGCTCCCGGCACAAACGTATTGTCGTTGACAACAGCCGTGTCGTCGAATGTCTGCTCTGGTGGCGTAGGTGGGATGTTCTCGTCTTCTTCAACTAAAGGGTCCAGTCCGGTCTCGTCGCCTACTAGGTCGTCCACCATGTTGCGCATCGCATTGTCCTTAGCAAGCGTAGTGGATGCAGATTCTGAAGCTGCCGCAACGGAGTGTGACTTCTGGTCGTCTGGAATAGGCGCCTCTGTGTGTTTGAACAGAGGTATATCGGTGGCCTGGACTGAAAGAACAGGAGATCCATCAGGCCGGGTCGTTGGGCTCGCCAGAAGCTCCGATGGCAGTCCTTCTTCTCGGTAGATGAATCGCGGACCCGCCAAGTCCAGTGGTGCATCGTCAATCTGCGTAAGGAGTAGACCATCGATCAGCAAGTCCTTCACTCGCATGAGCATCTCGACGTTGGGGTGGTTGCGCTCAAGCTCAGTCCACTTCTGCTTCATTACATCCCCCTTATACCAGAGCTTCATGGTATCCGGGGAAATGAGCGGCTCAAAACCAATCGTATCCGTATCCTCCTCCAACATGTAGTCTTCTTGGGGGAGTTGGTCCACGGGAAAGCTCGAGGCCAAAAGAGACAAGGTAGCAGCGTAGGCTTTCCAGAGCTCTTGAACGTCGACAGGATTCAAGGTATCGGCGATGTTGGCGTTGAGTACCTTCCAGTAGCGCGTGAACCAGGTGCTGTATAGACGAAGTCCTGGGAGGATGCGGCGTGCCACAGCTGTAATCTTGTCGGATAGATGGGCCGCACGGTCGCCGTTCTGGTGCTTCACATCGTTGCCCTCAGAAAGGCGGTCCAACTCCGGCTGCAAGACTTGTAGTAGGATGAAGAATGTCTTGACGTTCAGACGAAGGTAGTAGAAGTAGGTGCGCATAATGTTCGGGGGTGGGTTTTCGCCTGTTACAATTAGCCAAGTTAGCGTGTGAAGGGTGGACAACTTACTCTGCAACTGCACGGTCGCAAAATATTCCGCTGACATGTTGATGAGAATGATCTTAGTCAAGATGGAGTCCAACGGGCGCTCTTTGAGCTCGATAGCCAAGTGGCTGAGCACCTCGCCTTCCAACTCATCATGCGCCGCGAATTCCTCGCCCTTGTAGAGCTTGCTGTGCAGTCTGATGAACCAAGCAATCAAAGCCCGACCGGTATTACCGTCGGCTGACTTGTGGTTGTTGATGAGCTGCCCATTGTCCCATGCAGTTATGACGCGCTTGAACTCGGTCGCGAGGTTGGCCTTGGCCGACGGGTACGGCTCTTTGCTTGCTAGCGAGCGGTAGAGATGGTATACGCAGCGGAAGTGATCGCCGTCCTCGCGGGCGATTACTGCGAGTTGATTCGGCGCATGACCCGAATCTGGGTATATCTCTGCGGCCAGGTCGTAGTAGCCTTTGGCGGGTCCCCAATTGCGGTCCTTGTTCTTCTCGACGAGTTCGGTTTCGCGGTAGCGGGAAAGGTCACCGAGCTGGATGAGCGTTTGGTGGCAAGAGATGAGGACCTGTGTTTTCAGGTTCGCGGCGATGCGCTGGCGCGGGGAGGACTTGGAGGCTGCTCTCTTATCAGCAAAGTCGCGTGGCGCACACCGGGCGTGCTTACTATCATCCTTCCATTTCTGGGCGATTTTGCGCAGCTCTGGGATGCCGTCGAACTGAGTGTCGAGGTTCAGTATGTATTGGCGGTAGAAGCGCTGGCTGGCCTTGATAAACTGCAGATAGGTCTTTTGGAACTTGCGGATCTCGACAACATGGTCCTTGGATCGCTTGAGCTGCCGGGTGTTAGCGGTGCCTCCTGTTCTTCCTCCTGTGGTGACGCACCAGCTTATGTTCCTGCCTGAATTTGGTGTTGACCTTCAGATGCGCATTCCACAGCGTCGTCTGGAGTTCGCGGGCGGATGCGTATTCGAAGTTGGAGAAGATAAGGGCCTCGCAGGCGGCGCGGTACCTGTCGGACATTAGTTGTCGCCGGTATGCAGTGGCAACGATGCCTACTCTTGCAGCACCGCAGCTAACTCGGCGCACGAAGAGCCGCCATCAGCGCGCTTGTACAGGTCCTTCTCGATCGCCTTCGCCCGTCTATACTTTTATTAGCACCCGGCCGACATGACCGGAATGACGCAATGACGCACCTGTCGAGTTGTTCGGTGTTGGCGGCCATGCCTTCTATGTGCAGGAGCCGGCGACGTTCATATGTGACCCCACGGTCGGCGGGCAGGTCAGACGAAGGCACGGAGCAGGCGGCGGACGTTGTGGCTGGCGTGCTCCATTTATGGTGAGGGGGTATGCCCTGCGTAAAGGACAGAAGCGAGCGGGAGGGTCTCGGAGGCAAACAGCGCCCAAGACGCGGAGCTATGGCGTCAGAGTCGGAGGCGATGGCCGTGGTGAGAGGTGTGAGAAAGTGAGGTTGGTGGATGAGTCGCGAGAACTAGCGGGCGCAGCAGTCTCGGAGCTAAGGTACCACGTCCCGGCCTGGCTGGCGACCAACCCTCTCTCTTTCACCGCACAGCCAACACCCAAGTGAAACAGCCCTGCGAGACGGCACTCTCCCCGGTAAAAGGTACTGCCCCTTTCATCTACGCCTCGTCACAGTCACAATCAGCCCCAATCAACATACAATGGGGATCAAGCGCTCACACCGCGATTCCTCGTCATCAGACAGCACACCCTACTCGCGTGAGACATCGGCCGACGTCAAGATTGTCCACTTAGATACCGAATCTGCCGTCTCTGACGAACCCATCATCATGAAGTGCTCACTGCCTCCGCACGAACCGCTTGCGTTCAATTCCATTGAAGACCACGATGTGCACTATCAGCAAGTTCACATGAACCGATGCAGCGAATGCCACAAGAACTTTCCGGATCAGCACTTTCTACATCTGCATATTGCAGAATATCACGATCCTATCAATGCTGCCAAGCGAGACCAGGGAGAGAAAACGGTAGGTCGTTTCCATACGTTGTTTGTCACGTGTTTGCTCCTTCCCTTTCCGGATCTCCCGAGTGGTTCCTTCCTCTTGACAAGATCGCCCATCCATTTGGAGTAAGACTGGTGAGGTATGCGGAGTACGAGCACCTTCATGAGGACACTGTAGCTGATAGCTCGCAGTATGCATGTCTTCTACCTGACTGCGATCGCATGTGCAGCACACCCCAGAAGCGCCGCCTCCATTGCATTGATAAGCACCAGTTCCCTCGCGAATACGACTTCATCGTTGTGAAAGACGGTATCGATCGCCGAAGCAGCATGCTAATACCCTCTCACCGACGAAGAAGCTCGACAATGAGTTCGGCGAATGGCGCTGCTGGTTCTCCAAGGAGGCGGAGAGGTGAATCCAGCGCAAGCACTGGTGACACCATGGAGATGGATCACGAAGAAGCTCAGGAAGAAGGAGAAACGCGTCGCTATCCCACCAGACTTCGCGGGCGTGGTGGGTTCGGAGGTCGCGGACTCGCACGAGAAGACGCAGCAGGTGTCACTGCCCCAAAGACAGCCACTACTGATCAGCCGACCGATTCTATGGACAGTCTGGCTTCTAGCATGTCTGCACTGAAGTTTGTTCCTCACAGTGTCCGGGTAGCGCGCACAAAGGGTAGAGGAGGAGGTGCCTGAAGATACAGCCTTCAAAAGAAAGAGAAGAGTTCGGCTGATACTTTTGTCTTTCTTCTACATTCCTGTGATCGTTCTTTCCGTTGCGTTTCTCGTCAAGTCATGTTGCCTTGCGTTCCTTCCACAGATGTCGGTTGCCACGTGGTAGTGGTTACGACACCATTTCCACTTGACGCCATCCTCATTACAACACCACTGGTTTTCCTCGGCGATCCTGTATTGCTATCCATCGAGATAGCAAGGTATGTATACGACTTTAAGAGAATCAAACTACAGGCTAACATCGCCGCTGGCCGGGTCTCCTTCTTCCGTAATGCACCTGTCGACACAGCAATGGTGTACATTGTCTGGTTGCACTACGCATTGCGAATCCTCCTACTCTTTTTCGATCGTCTGAAGTCACTCGGGCTGTTAAGAGTGGAGCTTGCAGCCGTCTGTTGTCATGTTTTCCTGATACGCGTGATCCTCACCCGACCACAACAACCGCCCCACCACCGCTTGCGCGCAATCGTCATATGCGTCCGAACTCTTTCCAGACTCATAACCATTATGAAGCCGTCGACTGTCGCTCGCTGTGCGATCGTAAACGAATACCTACGCCGAAGAAAGCAGCCATCTTGTGACACTGCCAATCGCACTCGCCCTGAGCACCAAGTCGAACTCTTAAGCACCGCCATTGAACAAACGCCAGACAAGCAAACAACGGAGGCGCAAGCTCAGCCAGCGTTGAATCATGTACAATCTCTCGTCACATCGACCGCGAACGAGAGATGCGACACAGTCGCAGTCGGCGTCAGGTCCATCGCTTTGGATAAGATTAGTACAGCACCTAGTAAGTCCCGGTCGGATGCAGAGTAGATGCAAAGTCTATCATACAAAAGCTTACACAAAATTTCGATAGGACATCTCCGCAAGCCGGGCGTTTGGAGGCCAATGTTAACGAGCGAACGCACTGGCAGTACCTTTCTGGCGGCTTTGCAACCCAACGCAGATAGAGGCGCGGTGGCTACGGGAGCAAACGCTGCAAAAAACCCATGTGCTGGCGGATTCGGCTTGCCTGTACGCGACACTGTCACAAAGGCGTGGCAAGGGACGACCGACCACGAGTACCAGATTTTCACCACCTTCTGCTTCCCTGCCATGGGTGCATCCGCCCCACGATCTCTTCCTCCGACGCCACACCCTGAAGACGCCAGTGACACAGCATCCCCGACCTCAGATACAACCTTGTTCGAAGACGCGCCTGTATGCACACCCAGTCAGCTAGGATGCGATGAAGACATCAGTGCGTACACAGCTTGTAAAGACGCATCGATGGAAGGAGTGTCAGTCACCTGGACTTCCCAAATGGCAGAGGACGAAATGGATCCTGTCGCTAAACGCCCTCTTCGGCATCGTCGATACGTCTCTTCTCAATCAAGCTTCAGCGTTACTGAAATGCCTCAAACCCCGCTTCGGTCAAGATCAAGAACGAACGATGGACTGCTGTTGTTTAGGGCAAATTCTTCCAAGGAAACCACAGATAACGCCCCTGAAATACGACACCGTCGGAAGGTCTCTCTGAACCTTCCAGTCAACACACGCGCAAGCCAGGCCAGCGCCACCCAGCCATTTGGAAAGCCCGGTGTCAAAAGTTGTACAAAGCGAATGTCTGGCATGGAGACCGCTTACTATACCACCAGCGTGGACGCATTGACTCCTGAAGAACGGGATCTAGAGTACAAGCACCGGCATACATTCATAGGAACTGGCTCGCTAGACGACTTCCTAGAAATACTGGAAACTACACCAAACCATACCGCTACCAAAGATGCGATTGCTCGGGCATTCGTGCAACTGGCAGCATCAGAGCAGCTCTACGCTCGACAATGTTCTGCTGGTCAGGGGTGGGATCTAGTCATGCGAACAACACTGAGCCTCGTGGACGTTACTAGCGTCGATTACATTGTCCAGTCGCAAGTCAAGCTGGGTTCCATTACGCTACGGCAGTTCCTGGACTTGATACCTTTCGATGAAGTCGATGAGGTGGCGGCACTACGTATCGTAGAAGCGTTCTCTATTGCTAGCCATCTGGATGCGACGGCATGTATAGGCGCGCGAAGTAAGGCACGAGCTTTCCGGAAGTGGATGGTCGACCAAAAGAGAGTGGACGCAGATGGTTGAGGACAACAGCGATGAAGTACGCGCGATTCCCCCTACTATACCCAGTCAATTTTCCTAGCAGCAATACCCCAATGTCACCGACGTATCTTCCTATATACGCTCCTGTACTATTGCTTTTCGGAGAGTTTATGATCAGAACAGTGAAGCAGGCACAGTTCCTTGTTTCATTGAGTGTCTCTCCTTCTCATCCGGGCAGTATCTCAAGGCACGTGTCTTCCCTACACCCACCCCGGCCTTGGCGCCTACGCTTCTTGGCCTTATTTTCGCCATCGTCTCTTGACCTTCTTCCCTATGTTGATCTTGCGCCTTCTTCGCACTCTCAAAAAGCCACTCAGCTCGCTCTTGCCCACTCATTCCAGAACCTCACGGCTTCCCCCATCGCGCCAAGGCAGGTCCCCATTCAGTCCGAACTTTCACTGGAGGTCCGTGCTCCGCCTTACGACCCCCACTCGATACAGTTCCCAGCCGCTTGCACCGTACTTTCTACCCACACGCAATACACCGGAGGCAATCGACCCGTTCGCCACATAATTGTTACATACCCACGCGAGTCATCGATAGCTACCACGATGTCAAGCCGCCCACTACCGTCGTCAAGCGTTCTGCTAGGAGAAGTCAAGGCCACTGTCTTGCGCAAGTACAAGAAGAGCGCGTCGGTCTTTCTAGAGGACGCCGCTCTTGACATGATGCTTACCGAACATCCCGGTGACATCCAACGCTACGCCGGATTCTACAACATGGTCTACCTCTTCCTCGACCCCTCTCAATGCCAAGAGTGAAATCGACCGTTTGCGAACCCCCTTCTCACCAAAGACTCGACGAATCGTTTCATTTGGAATAAGAAGGAGTATGACTGCGCCGATTGCCTTGTGGACAATGACGATGATCACCCTGAATGGACTGAGGCTGCAGCATTTCGACCTATTGAAGGGTCCATCGGCGCACCCATCATTATCGCTACGGAACCGGTGGCAGCTATCTCAAAGAAGACGCAGAAGAAGACGTCTGCCATTCAACCTGGGGAGAACATCAAGACGCGGCTTCGACGCGTATACAATGAGCGCAAAGAGGCAAAGAAGTTGGACAGCTGGCGGGAGCTGAAGGCTACAGTAGAGGCCACTGCGACATGCGAGTTGCCTGCCCACGTCTCTACTACCCAGTTACACTTCTGGAACGCCGTCTTCTTGGACATTCTTCCCTGCCTACCAGCGTCCGAACGCGCCGCTCGCCTCCTGGCCCTCGAGAGTCGCGACATCACCGATGAACAGCCCAAGCCGTGGTCTGATATCTGGCAGACATACCAGTATGTCCGTGACTTCGACAAGGTTGAGACGACGGGATGGGATAAAATACTGCGCGACTTGTCCGAGAACTACCAAGACTTTTCCGAGAAACTGATAGACCTTGACATGGCCACGCGTATGGTTCTGGGTCTGCCAGTCATACTGCCGCCAGTCCGCGAACAGAACACGTCGGTGCTGACCGAGTCCACTGCTTCCAAGCCATCGACTCCTCACACTCCGGTACTCGAAACTGGCGCTCGTCGTCCCAAGCTCCTCCCAAAGTCTCAGACTACGCGGAAGAACTTTGGACTGGCTTACTTGGATGAGAAGGCTAATATAGCTCCTGAGGTTGCTGCACCGCCGGCAGCTCCAATTCCTACCGATACCAATATCTTCTGGCTTCCTACGGTAGTGCCACAGGAGGAACGTCCACCGTTCGGTGGCTTTACGCTCACTACTCCAGCTTCGAAGACCGCCAATGCCCATCCCATGTCCGCGCCGCTACAGCCTGCTCCAGCTATGCAGTTCCCTGACACACCTAGCTTCAACTTCGGTCTCGCTAAGAGTACATTTGACGCACCACCTACAGCACGCGCTCCGCAGTTCAATGGAGGCGCTGGCTTCGGGAGGGATTTCACACCTCGGACGCCCAAGTCGTCTTCGGCTGAGCAAATTACACAGCTCGTTGCACCCATTGTCGAAAAGACAAAGTCTCTCTCCGTTGTGTTCGGTGCTCCAAGCATTGGCACTGACTTATTATCACCAGCGCAACTGAACCTTTTCGCCCATCTTGACGAGCCGACTGCTGACTTGGAAACTGATGACGGAAACGAGGAGAAGTATACGTGTGAGATCCGAACAGTTATCAAAGAGAAGTCCATGGGCCGGGGTTACGAGCCTGTTCTGGACGTAATCGTCGAAGAGCCCGAGGAGGGCGATATGGAGCGGAATTTCGACAACGATCACGAAAACAACGACTACCCTAGCATATCAGTGGCCTCTTCATGTTGGTTAAAAACGGAAGATGACTTCAAGTACATGAGAGATGCAATGTCTCTCTTCCGTGAGAGTAAGTCGCGAACCTACACCGTTGGGGAGTTTATAGTCGACTACATTATCACACGAAGCCTAGATCACCCGGAAGAAGAATTGGTTCCTAGAGTCACTGAATTCTTAAACACTCTGCCCTTCGACCACAGATCTTTCGTTCAGACTCGAGATGAGAATGGGGTTGAAGTAGCTGCGAGCTTTGAGGAGGCATTAGAATTCTTCGAGCCGCATCTAGTAGCTCATTTCACGGTAGCAGATACAGATGAAGCCTCTCATTCAATTGGCCTGTCCGTAGGGAACCTAGAAGACGCCGAGGCTATCACAACTGTACTGAGCGAGCCCATCATGATAGTCGTTGCTGAACGCCAATCCATGTACGAGGACGACGAAAGTTACAACTACATCAACGGCTACGAATACCTGGCCCAGTTCGACTGCAGCGACCACGATTCACAAGCTGATGATGGCGCGGATATCGACCGGCCAGATGCTCTCGACGAATTCATGCCAGACACCCGGTGCAAGTCACCATCTCCCGAGTATGAAGCCGACCTCGCGGACAGCAATTCCGCGTCCACTGTCACACTTACTCCCTCTTTGACGCACTCGCCTTTCTCCGAAGCCGAACTTGCGATCGACACTGAGATGGCAGAAGAGTACATGCTCGATGGATACGGCCGCCCACTCGAGCTGACCGGGATGCCTCAAAATGACAAGAAGTTCTTGGACGCGGTACATACGAAGATCGTCGCAGAGACCGACCAGTATGAGTTCGATTGGGCTGAGGTAGACTATCTTTTGGGCCCTCAAGATGAGGAAGATGACGACGACGACTACGATGTACCTACGGTCGATGATGACGGGAAGCTCATTAAGCTCGAACTGGCCATGGAGCCTCTAGAAGGCGGCTGGGCTCACTGTATTCTCAAACAGGTCTTCCCAGACTTCGAGCAGGCTGAGGCCAAGCTTTCTGATGTCGCGCCACAACTCCAGGTAGAGGTTGATCAGACATCCTTTTCGAATATGTTCGACTTCGGATTCTTGTCTGAATCAATCGATTTGCTGCAACACACTTCGATCGAGGCGGCGAAGTTGGCAGGCGCGCCGCTAGTCGACACTTTGATACCCATCTTCACGTCTAAATTCGTCGACTATGATCGGCTCTTGCATGAGCTATATCTACAGGCTGCAGCAGTTGGCACTGGTGCGGAAGACCAGAAGGCCGACTACCGTCTACCTAGTCCTGCCGTACGTACTGCCCAGTCAAAAGCTGTGCCTACGGAAAATTCAGAACCACTCGATGGTATCGGAACTGGCAGTTCTGCTCATATTAACTTGGCTGCGGTTCGACTAATGACGTTCAATAAGCGCGACCCAGTCCGTCACATACCGCACTCTGACCTAGCGGTATATGACTGGCTCAAGTCTCAACCAGATAACAGCCTGGCAAACATCAGCACGAACGAGCCGGGCGAGCCCGCACCCTTTGACGTGATCAAGCTTTGACGGCGGTCCCGCAATCAGGAAGCGAGAAGAGTACATGATGAGCGGGATCTTGGAACAGGAACTTCGAGCTTCCAAGGAGAAGGCCTAGTGGACCCGACCGCAGGATCTAGAGAAAGCGACGAGCCTTTGGAACATGACGAGCTCCACGAGCACCCACACCTTGGCTGCTTTGAGGCGTGCAATATCCACATTGCCCTCCGCCGCCTGATGTAGTCGAATGGGCTTTCAGAGTCGGTTTGTAGCTATGTCCTTCGATTCTTTCGCAACGGGTTACGGCTTCTCTTCATCAATACGACAATGATTGTCCCGTCCTGGTCAGACATCGATACCGACAGTCACTTCTGAGCTCAAGCCAGACTGTCAAACTCTCGGCGATTTGCCCACCTTGGCCATAGAGCCAGGGTAGAGAGCAAAATCCGCTCTGCTGGGTCAAAGATCCAGTGAATGACACCGACATTTCGTATGTCTCCACCAAAGAGTGCGCAGATGCGAAAGCAGAAAGCAGATATCGCTCCGTCGGGTCAAAGGCTCGGCGACTGAGAAGATCGATCTGTCTGTCTTCACCAAAGAGTGCGCAGACAGACACAACAAGACCCCCCTTGGACCAAACGTCCAGGCATGAGGGAGCAAGGTGCGCAGCCACTGCAATTGAGAAGAGGGCTTGTCGCTCAAGGATGCGACACGATGAAAAGAATACGGCGGTTACAAAGATGGCCGTCTCGTCGAAATTTCTGCATCCACAGAGAAGGACAACGTGGTGTTTCCAGTGACGGATCGAGGAAATTTGAGGATTGGTATGCGCATGAAGGGCCACGGTGAATTCGTGTCAATGGTGTTGGAGGTTGTTTTGAATTTGGCCGACGACATTTCGTTAGCACACGCGCGCTCAATGTGCGCGCAGGAAGGTACGAGGATGTGAGAAACCTAATCGGGTCGCGAAACACCAAATCGGTGACTTCTAGAGCGGTGTGAGATGACGGGCAATCTGACCGTTAGTGAGGGCTTCCCCGCCATCCACAGCGCTACTCTAGATCGCGCATGCTTCGAGCTGTCATCTCGACGATGCAAATCCTTGATTTCGAAAGAAATGCATCTTCTCTCGTATGCGGGTATGGCCGTTTCGGATACGCGGCTACACCAAGACCCTAGCAACACGCATCCCACCCGATCATCCGGACAGCGCAACTCCAATGACGAGTGGAGAAAAGCATCTGATCTTCCCCGCATCATCCTTGACGCAGGAACCGATGCCACTGCCTTGATCCAAGTGCAGCCACCCGGACGTCGCGGAAGACTTGCTGCTGTAGTGACGGCCTAAGTCCTCGGCGCCCAAGACATTTCCAAGCGCCGCCAATGCCATCTTCAAACTTGGCGACTTGCATTACGCACACCAGCCCCTATGTACAACGACAACCGGGACCTGCGCGCAATCAATGATAGGGGAGGGCCTGAAGGGCCAGACTAGATGGCCAAGCCAATCGTGAGTTTCGTAGTCATTTTAACGAGTTTAAACGACCCAACCCTAGCCTCGTACCAACACCGAAGGATGACTACCAAGCGTTGCACTGTCGCCCAGCTACTGCTGCGGCTCAACGCCGTTACTTGGCTGACGGCCGAAGGGGTTTCATAACATCACGACTCGCCATCCTAGAATGTTCGTTCTCTCGTTTTCCCTCGCTTCCTCCACACCAACCTCAGGCTCCGCTTCACGTCGCTCGCTGTGTAGTGCCTCAGGCACACTCGTTAATCCGCGCATGCCGAATACCCAACACCTTTCTTTCCAGTGATACCCCGGAGCTTCCGCCATGAGACCTTCGAACCTTGTTTTTGCAGCAGTCGGCCTGCTTTCCTCATTCGCCACTGCGCAGCTGGAGTTCAATGTTGACGATCCAGGTGCGCTCACTGCAACTGTTTTCGGACCCCACTAACATAAACAGCCTCTATTAAGGATGCGACAAAAGTTGTTGCGGCGGGCTTAAGAGAATGGTACACTGGCGATAAACCCGGCGATGTACCTGGAAACTTGCCAGACCCATACTACTGGTGGCTATGCGGAGCCATGATGAACTCGTTCATCGACTACTGGTACTACACCGGCGACGACACATACAATAAGATTGTACAGCAAGCGATGGTGCACCAAATCGGTATCCCAAGAGCCTTTATGCCAGAGAACCAGACAAAAACACTAGGAAACGACGATCAGGCGTTCTGGGGAATGGCTGCCATGTCAGCAGCGGAAAACAAGCTTCCAGATGTCGAAGGAGAAATGTCTTGGTTGTCACTCGCCATCGCCGTATTCAACACACAGGTACCGCGTTGGAATCCCGAAACATGCGGCGGTGGACTCAACTGGCAAATTTTCCGATTTAACCCCGGATTCGACTACAAGAACACAATCTCCAACGGATGCTTTTTCAACATCGCGGCAAGGCTGGCAAAATACACAGGCAACGAGACGTATGTTGAGTGGGCCGAGAAAGCATGGGATTGGCAGTACAGTGTTGGTCTCATCAGCACAGATTACCACTTCTTTGGTAAGGATGCTCTTGAATGTATATCAGATGATATGCGTGCTAACAGATACCTTTCCTAGATGGTACCAGCGAGAGACAAAACTGCACGGAAAAGAACCACATCCAATGGACATACAACGCTGGAATCCACATGGCGGGTGCCGCAGCCTTGTGGAACATGTCAGAAGCGAAGGGTGATACGGTAAGACTCTTTGAACCTGACCTAATTCCATACTCATGCTAACCCAACGAAGGAACGAGCAGGCAGATGGCGAGAGCGCCTGGGCGGTGTTATCAACGGTACCGACATCTTTTTCCAACAGCAAGGAGCCCCAGACGTCATGATCGAAATGGCCTGCGAACGCAACGGACTATGCGACCACGATCAACGATCCTTCAAAGCCTACCTCGCCCGCTGGATGGGCTGGTCGATGCTAGCCGCTCCCTGGACCCGCGACCGCATCATGCCGAAACTCCGTGCCTCTGCCGTGGCAGCTGCGCAACAATGTGGCCCCGGAAAAGGTGGCTGTGGTCTTAGGTGGTGGCAAGGTGGAAACGACAAAGAGGTCGGCGTTGGAGAGCAAATGTCTGCATTGGAGGTCATGCAGAATTTGCTTGTTGATCAAGTTTCTGGTCCGGTTGGACTTGATAATGGTGGAATCAGTGAGAACGATCCTACTGCAGGAAGTGATGTGGGACCTGTGCGTGTTGAGCATGACTCTATCACGACAGGGGACAAGGCCGGCGCTGCGATTCTCACTCTCATGGTATTCGCGGTGTTCTTTGGTGGAGGCGCCTGGCTGATTATGAGCGAATAGTTTTATTTCTTAATTCAAAGCATTTCACACTTCATCGTATTGCGCGAACTGGGGCATTGATACTGAATGTGCACTCAACGCTTCATCACCGACTATCACCGACGAGAATCCGGAGTGGAGTGGTTCTACGCTTGCCAGCGACGCGTGATTTTGACTCAAGAAAGCTGTTTGACCCCAAACCTGCAGCACCACACGCGTGTATATTATGATCTGCAGGCATTTGTAACGCTGTGTCTGCAATGTGTATACACTGTAACCTATGAGAGGGCGTCTCATGACATAAGCATGCAGATCATGTCCTGAATGAGGTAGGATAGCGACTTCCCAACTCGGAATTAGCGCGTGTATACCTAGGTAGCAGCTGCATCACCTCACGCCAGCTATCCAGCATTTGTAAGCTCTCCGGCTGTACCTCCGACATCACAACGACGATATAAGGCTGCTACCAGAGCTGTCATTCTTGGACGACCGTTCAGCACTCGCCTGGTTTTACAATCGCAATCGTGGACAGTAACCAATAGCAAACATGACGTCAGCTAAACCCTTCAGCACCGTACCAGCAGGCGCGCAACAACAGCCCACACCCTTCGAGCTGCATGTTGAGGAACAGAAGTTGCAGGACTTCAAGACTCTGCTCAAGCTGAGTCCAGTCGCGAAAGAGACGTATGAGAACAGGCAGAATGCGGGCAGCCATGGCCAGTTTGGGATCAGCCGGCAGTGGACCATTGATGCGAAGAAAGAATGGATGGAGAAGTTCGACTGGTATGTAGGCGCGACAAAGAGTTGAAAAGGAATGACTGTACTGACGTGCTGCAGGCGCAAGGAAGAAGACCGCATCAACTCTCTCCCCAACTTCAAGACCACCATCAAAGACGATGGCGGTAGCAGCTATGACGTCCACTTCGCCGCATTGTTCTCTAGCAAGCCCGACGCTATCCCAATCGCTTTCTTCCATGGCTGGCCTGGCTCATTCTTGGAGTTCCTACCCCTCATGGAAGTTTTGAGCAAGAAGTATACGCCAGATACCCTCCCTTACCACATCATCGTACCATCTCTCCCCGGCTTCGCTCTGTCGTCTGACCCACCACTTGATCAAGACTGGAAGGTTGCAGATACATCCCGCATTATGCACAAGTTGCTTCTCTCCCTGGGATTTGGCGCATCAGGATACCTCGTCCAGGGCGGTGATATCGGCGCTTGGATCGCGCGAGAGCTGGCATCTACGTACGCCGAGTGCAAAGGCATGCATCTCAACTTCATGCACGCGGTTGACATCAAATCCTACTCTTCACCTGAGGACGACCTCAGCGTAGCGGAGAAGAAAGGTCTTGAGAGGATGAACGAGTTCATGGAAGTAGGCAAGGCCTATGCAGTTGAACACGGCACGAAGCCTTCCACCATTGGCCTCGTACTGTCCAGTTCCCCCATGGCGCAACTGGCGTGGATCGGCGAGAAGTTTATGGCGTGGACTGATCCATCTACCACGCCTTCCGTCAACACAATCTTGTCGGATATTACCCTGTACTGGCTTACTGGCTGCTACCCGACGTCAATCTACACGTACCGAGAGGGCAAGAAAGTCAAATATGTGGACAAGCCGACGGGATACAGCTACTTCCCGTATGAACTTTCGCCCGTTCCGGAGGCCTGGGCGGCGAGGACAGCG